TCTTGACAAGATATTTTAATATTTGTTCCACTGCCTTGAGATTGATGGAACTGTTAATCATATTTAACTGCAAAGCTTCACGTATGTTGCTAAAATAAGAAGTCACTGACTTCTGTTTCCTCAGATATGCCAAGAATTCATATATAAAATTGCAAGCTCTGTTGATTGAACATGAAAATATAAGTATTCATAATCTGTGATAAGATCACACAGCTAGATCTAGTCTGATCTCACCTTTTCATGGTAAGCTCCTCCCCCGCCATTCAAAATAGTCAGTTTGATCAATAATCTTTTACATTATTTATGTAGGTCACCAGCTATTTTAATTTAGCCTTAATGGATACAGTCACAGCTTGTACCCAGCATGATTTGGTGATATGTCAAGACAGACAACATATAGAAATATCCTAATTTGAAAGATGGGGTCTGAGACCAAGGTGATAGCTTCTTAGTGATACCTAGTATGTATATGTAGTAGATCCATATTCAGTGGTTCATCGTCCTCTATTGATATGTTCTGTACAATGCCCCTTTTGCAGAAAAAGAGGTTCAATGCTGGAATCAGAAGATTCCATGAAGGCAGGGAGAAGCAGGGGAAAATGAAAGAGACGTGAATGTTAAGCCAAAAGCAGAAAAACGGACAAGAGCCATAGAAAAAAAAACAAATGAAGTACAAAGAAAATGGGGCAGGGAAAGAAAAATCGATCAATCTTTCCCTTCCTCCTCCCATGAAAAGGTAAGTAAGACCAGGTCTACATGAGGAGCACTTTGCCAGCATAGCTATAGTGGTATGCTATACCAGTAGTCTCTACTGGCAAAGTGCTCCTACTGTGGATGCAGTTTACACAAGCCTCTGATCTCCCCAAGCACAATAATCTATACCAGCAAAGTGCAGTTTTTCTAGTATAACTGCATCTATACTATGGATTTTTGTTAGCAGAGCTATGTCGGTCAGAGATCACATCTGGCCCGAGTTCCTGCTTCCCTCTCACTGCACTAATAATACTTAATACTCCATACTTAGGCACAAAATTGTTGGCATAGGTTGGAGGAGGATCCAACTGCCCAGATAACACAATACTAAACTCTTCCTTGCAGGGGAAACCTTTGTGACTGTCAACTCTTATTTCAAAGGAGGCTGATGTGCTGTGGAAGAACTGCTTCCTGTACTCTGTAGATACCACTGCCCACAGCTCCCCTGTTGTCTAGTTCCCATTTTCTGAGAGATCCACTCTCCTGTCAGACACTTGCCCATTACACTCTCTCCCACACTTGTGACTGCCCCCCTTCCCAAAACAAGAACAATACCTTTGCTTATCCTACAAGACTTGTTCCCCATCCACTTTGTCTTCCCTCTCTCCACCGTGAGCTATTCCCTCTTGCCCTTGCCACTGTACCTTTCCTCACTAAGATGGATACTCCTCAAGTCTTCAAGAATTTAAAATTCTCCACCCGCCTACTTGTAATAAAGTTGGGACAGGCAGGAATGCTGGTGAGAGCCTGGCCTTTATTTCCTGGCTCCAGTAACATGGCATCAGTTAGGATTACAAAAAGTTCCTATCACATAGCAGAGGTCAGTGGACACTGATACCAGTGGCTACCAGTACATTATCTTCTTTTTAAATAAAATTCAAATAAAAAGGCAGATGTAAGGGTAACTACTGGAGTCAGCAAATACTGACACCTGTCATGTGACAGAGGTATTAACCTCTTAAAGGTGCTGAAGGTTGAGGGAGCCATGTCAGAAGGTGGGGGGGGCAAGAGCAGGGAGTTACTGTGTTGCTAGGAAAAAGGCAAGATGTGGAGAGAGTGCATTTAGAAATTATAATGGGGGCAGGGTGCATTAGGAAGTTTTCATTGAAGTACATGCATAAATCATTACATCCCAGATTATTTAGTTTTGGTGAGGGTTAAAAAGATTCAGTGAACATTATTACTAGTACTGAGATATGTTTGTAAGAGGACTTGCAAAACTCAAGTTAACACCCTTAATTGTCTACAAGAAAAAAAGACTCCAAGTAATCCATGCTTAGTAAGCAGTCTTGGGTAAATCAACTTATGTTCCTCAGTTCACCCACCATAAAAAAAGGACAATCATATTACCTTCCTCATCTGGATGACAAGCGGCATAGGTAATATTATTAAAGTACTTCAAGATCTTTAGAAGAAAGGTTCCACAAAGCATACAATACGTTATCATTTTTGTATCCTGGAAAACCAAAAACTCTACTGTATTTACATTTATATAGCCAGTCATTAAATATTTGTAATGACTTCAGAGCTTTTTAAAAGCTGAGTGAAAATTATCTCATATAAAAGCTGTTCATGTTAATCTTTATCTATATATCAAAACAAAATGTTTTATAGTAGTTGGTTGTTGAACTTCTACATGCAAACACTTATTTTAATTTTCAGTTGGATAATTTACACTAATGCTGCAAACAAAGAAAACAAAACCTCAATTAAATAATTTGCTCTTCATGCACTACGATTTTCCTCTCCCTACCCCCAATTACATTTAAAGAGCATAACTCTTACTTAAAATGTCTACATTAGCAATTTAGCTTTTCTCCTCTGAGCTTTTGAGGTGCACCACATTGGATAAGAGCAGGGAGAGGTTATTTTAGGCTCCGGTGCCCTGCTGCTGCCACTTGGAGACCATGGCAGAAGTAAAACATGAAAGTACAAAGAGTGTTCTTTTTATTAAGCACTCTTGGGGTACTTTGCTTTGGAAAAGAGAGAAAATGTTCTGTGAATGCAGTCACATCCCACGTTACTTCCCAGGGAAGGCAATGAAATGACTCAAAGAAGAGGCAGGCCTGAATGGTATAAAATCACAGACTCTATGAATAAACGGCAATCACATATCTTTTAAGTCCAGTTTTTGTTTTAAAAATAAGCACCATTTGTTTAAAAAATTACATTGGTATGGTAATTCTTTAAATAAGTTAGAAACTAGTAGTTCAGATCCTTGCACCAGCAGGTCTATGTGTTGTATACAGAAGCTAATTGAACTACCCTAAACTTGTTTTTACTAATAAAAATCCCTCTTTATGTACACTAGATTTCAGATTTTCCTGTTTACTATTAATTTTTCTTCTAAAAAAATTAATGATACGCTATTTTAATTATACTCCTCTTTAAGCAAAACAAAATTGAGTATATAAAATATTGGATTATATTTTCTTTAATATTTTGTGCTTTAATTTGGTGTATCTCCTCTGGACAAAGCAACTGCATAGGCTCTTACTGCAGAAAGCAAAGAATGTCTAAATATTTTTTAATTTAAAAAGAATGTAAGACAGCCATTTCCATTTAGTTATATGAATGCAGCAACTTGTGCCACCAAATATTCCCCAGAGATCTAAATCAGTTTGGTAATACTGAACTTTATTATAACTGAAAATGAAAACAACTTATGCAGGAAACCATAAAACCCTTCAAGTTAACTGTAGTCAACGGTAAAATCTCATTAGAGATAATAGACATATTGTGGCACAATCTAAATGCTCAGGGCTCATGGTCTGACTGAATTCCAAATGCTGTCAGTAGGAAGAATCTGCAATTCAATCTTGCCACCCCTCCCCCCACCATATCCTTTTTTCCATCATCTGTGTCTAGTCTCAAAAGCCTGTGTGTGTATAACTATATTAGGCACTTAAAAATTCTTACAATGGTGAGGTTTTTATTTACATACATTAATTACTACTATAATTTCCATCACTCCCCCTGCCACCTCCCACCTCCCACCACCCACAAAAGGATGCGGCCCTCCCCATTACACACTTTGAGAAGGAAGTGTAGGAGTCCTCTGGGTAGCAAATGTGGGAGAAACTCCACTGATGCTCCTACTGGGATTTTTTCATTCAATTTTATTTTTAAATCATGAAATGATAGAACTTAGAAATAAGGTTGGGTGGATGATGTTAGGGGAAAAATTAGAGTGCCTTTGACTGGATTAGAAATACTATACAGGAGTTGATTTAGGGTAGTGTGGTGTAAAAGTAACCTCCATCACATTAGCAGCTTTGCAAAATCCCAAATTAAATGTATGGTCTTTTTTCAAAGAAAGGAATGTTTATGGATTAAACTCAACAGTAAATTAACACCCAGGTGGAATTATATTAAATATATATATGGAATTTTAAAATGTGCTTGACAAAATATTAAGAGTACAATACAGATTTTTGTTTTTATTTATTTTTTTTTTTGGATGGGCGGAGGGGAAGGACATGTAAGTACTGAATGGTTTGCCTTGGCCTCCTGAACACCTTTGCTTTTTCCCACACCAAGTAGGTATCTAGCAGAATAACATGCTCCACAATAGTGAACAGAGAAATTGCAGAGCCAAGAAGCCTATACACACTCAACCCATCATTTCAGGCAGTCTTCTCCTCAGGTTTACCCTCTTGCCCTGCAGTTAATCATGGATCTAGCTGCAGGCCGATTGGGTCCACTCTAACACTCTATGAAATCATCACGTTCCTATTTCCACCCCTCTTCCAATTGTGCTCAACTTAGTGTTGGTTTTTATCACCATTTGCAAAGAGTTAATGAAAATCCTCCAGAGAATCTACTTTGCATCAGTGCTCGGCTGCCTGAAACAAAGTTGTCCAATCATTCCTAAGTTTTGAGTTTGTTTATTATTACAGTTCTGCTGTATACCCCCATGGGAATGAAAATTGATTCAGATTTAAGAAAGCATGCACATGTTTAGTATCATTAAGCTCACATTAGACAAGACACCTGGCCAAAAAAGTGGACAAAGAGTAGTCTGTCATTGCAAAAACCCAAATGTAGTCCTTGATTCAAACAGGCCACCTATAATCAGAATGCCACAGGTTCAAGTTAAAGGTGACTTCTTCTAACTGCCTATGTAAAAAGTTACTCAGGTCTAATGAATATAGTGTTAATTTGTAAAGAAATTATAAACAGCAAAAACAAGAAGTCTTGGATTTTTTGGAATTCATATATTACTGGAGTAGTTAAAGACACATAGGTTTTCCAAATGAGACATTTTATTGAAATACTGTAGCTGAACTACTTTCAAATCACTCAGTTTTAACTGAATTTACAGTACAATGAACTGCTTAGTTTAGGTTCACACATTCCCCTCCCCTAGTTTAAATGCGAATACTACGCTTCCCCACACCTACTTTATTTCAAAGTTTCCTCAACTCTTGACAGCTTTTCCCATAGCCTCTCACTATCACTCTGCTTAAGAAGTTGTGACAAAGATACACAGGAATATAAACAGCCCCCTGACTGAGGAAATCTTGTAAAACCCAAGGCACCCAGAAAGTTGCCCTTTCAGTTTGCAAACAGCATGCCTACTGTACTGTAGAAATAAATGGTGACAATTATTTTCCTTCCCTACAGTCTCCTTGTTGCTATGACGTCTGCATATGTTAAAGCTTGACTCTTTCCAAGCTGGGGAACAGAGCCAAAGTTAATGGCAAAATAGGTTGTGGGTTATTTTGGCAGCCCTCCCTCTCATATCGACTAGCAAAGGTGTGTAGGGGAAAAAATTCATTAATGTATCTGTTGGGAACACTGCAGGGCAGCAGAGCAAATCTCTTTCTTTTGCATTTGAAATTGTTGGAGGTAAATCTAGCCCCCACCCCACCCCACCCCACCAAAAGATGTATTTATAAACAAACTCAATCAGTTGCACGGCGTTCTTTTCTCTTGTTAGGATACTGAGCAATGTCTCTTTCACTTTGAAGAGGTGAGACTGAAATGAACAAATCCTCCCACCGGGCAGGTTTCCTGCAAGATAGTTACTGAAATGGCAAGGCAGGATTCAAGTCACAAGGTCAAACAAAACGGTTGATGTGGCCTCTTCTACACATTCCTGCTGTCTAGATTTCGTCTCGGATGGCAGCGGGCTTCGCCCAGCTCCTGAGTGCAGCTTCCCCATCCCCCATTCCTACTGCAGTCTTTGCTACTTTCACCGAAAGGTTATTAGCATTTGGTTAATGCACGAAAATTCCTAGAGAGCATTCAGCGATGGCACACATTCAGACTAACATCCATTTACTTCCAGACTTTGGCCTGCCAAGTCTCTCCGGGGGGACGGGGGAGGGGCGGGGAACGAAACATGTTCCTGCAAAAAAGATGTATTTTATAGTCGTCACTGTAAGTACATTTTATTTAACGGCTAATACAGAGAGTACCAGTGTCTAAGACCATTACAGAATAACCACATAGAAAAGTTGTAGCATAACAATGATGACAAAAACAGTCAAAGTTTAGGGTTCAGTTCCAGCTGATTTTATTTCCTTCTCAAAAAAAAAAAAAAAAAAAAAAAGATTATTTACAGAAGGTATATCAACAATCTGACAGGCAGTGAACTGGACATGATTAGCTGGCATGATTTTTTTCTCCTCTTTCCCAACGTTGTGTTGTGGGGTGATCGTTAGACAAAAATATTCTACACAGCATATTGCACAGGATGGATGACCAAAAAACAAAAAACAAAACAAAAAACCCTTAACGGAACCACCTCATTAGGCAGACGTCCTAGTGCCTGTCATGTTATATTAACATACATAAACACACAATCCTCTTTTTTCTTATTATAATACAGACTTAAATGTACAAAGATGTTTTCACTTTTTCCATCTTAAACACAACAGCTATAAACCTGAATACATATGCTATCATCATGCCATAAGAGACTAAAACAATTATATTTAGCGACAAGTAGAAAGGATTAAATAGTCAAATACAAGAATGAAAAACGCAGTACATAGTGTCGCGAACTCAAATCGGCATTTAGATAGATCCAGTGGTTTAAACGGCACGTTTTTTGCTTATAAAAAAAAGTGCAAAAGATGTGGTTTACAAGTTAAAGGTACAGGATCCCTTTTTTCTGTAAAATGCACCAGTTGCTTTAAAGCGCCTGTACGATATATGGTTGTACTTAATTATGGGATTTTTTTAAAGTTAGGAGACAGTGTATTACGTTTATTCTTTCCCCTCATAGAAATCAATGAGATTAAACACAGGGCACTGGTGGTATGTATAAGGGATACTGTCACTTTAAGAAGCCTGCAGATTGGAGTGTAAACATGGAGAAAATAGGGGCTGATTTTTGTGTGTATGGGTGAGACATTAACCAGCGGCCCTGTAATTATAATCAGGAAATCCAAACAGCGATTTACACCGATTTACACCCCCTTTATATATTTTTTACAAAAATACACTGAGAAAATAATCAAACGTTTTCATCTCTCTTCTCTTTTGTTTTTAAAAGTGTCAAAAGTCTACATTTAAATATAAAAAATTAAAAGTTAAAACTCTAGCCCTTCAGTGAAGGAGACATAAAAATGGTGCGAGTAACAACGAGGACTACCAAAAAAGGACAAAGAAATACAAGTCAAAAATGTTTGGCCAGTATAAATACATCCACTTATAAAATGGCATCCGATTACATTTACAAGGAAAAAACAATAAAGGAATAGAGCATCGGTGAGAAAAAACAGTCTTTTCATTTACAGCTATAAGGAACAAACACATACATACTCTGAGAAAAAATTTGGTCCTGATTTTTTTTTTAAGTCCAGCACAGATTTGAGTTGCGTTTGAATCCTTTAAAGAGTTAAGAATGAAAAAAAAGCTGGTGATTTTTTGTAGGAATCAAACATAGCGCCATCTATCTGCTTTTATAGTATCCTAACACTATTTTTAAACTGTTCAACAGTCTTACAGAAATCTTAAAAAGATAGACAGGATAACATGCTATATTAAACCCCACCAGTGAAATAATCCAACACCATCACGATTCTGAGTAAGAAGAAAAAACATTGTTTTTTTGTTTTTGCAAAAGCAATCGCCCTCCCTCCATTTCCCCTGTACCACATCATTATAGAAACTGTTTTGTATCTGTCTCCGTTTCAAAAAAAAGTTTTCCGTGTTCATGAAGTTCCATTTTATTGATTGATTTCTCTCTATATAATAAGGTGACTGAGAAAAGCGCTGCCACCTTCTCCTCTATACGTGCAAATGCATTTCAGTTTATTATTATCTTCCTCTAGTCGTGTTTCCAGTTCATCTTTAAAAAAAAAGGCAAAAACAAAAAACAAAACAAAAAAACCCAAACCCCTTCTTTTCTCTGTCCAACTAGGATCTCAGTTCAGTTTCCAGCTCAATTCGTCCTTTCCGCCTCCTATCATCTTCATCTCCTCTTGCTGCAGGAAAAAAATCGAAATAGGATTCGCTTCCCTTCCCCCACACCATGTAAACCCTGCAGTCTTTTTTTTAAACAGTTCTCATCTCTCTCAGAACAAAATACTCGAGATCGCCAATGCACTCAGCACAATTTTTCACTCCCCCTTCTTCTTTACATAGCGTGGATTAAAAATATCAAAAACCCAGAGGTGTGTGTGGTTTTCCCCCTTCTGTCTCTCTCTCTCTCAAAAAAAAATCACTCCCGCCAGTCTCTAAAAATTAACATCAGGCATCGGAAGAGGCGTGGGGGGGATGTGTGTGTGTGTGTGTGTCTATCTCCAAGCAGAGGAAGGGAGCGAGCGTGTGTCTATTTTTTTTTAAAAGGATGATCCCTTTTATCATCTCGGTTTTTTAAAAGCACAGCAAGTCAGTTTCATCTGCCCCTCCAAGGAAAAAAGATACACCCAACAGCGTGGGCGAGTCCTCTCAATAGTGTATGTCTACGTCTTCCCCGGCATTTATTTATTTATTTTCTTCAGTAAGTGAAGACCAGGTTTGAAATGCTGGACTCCAGCCAGTCCCCTGAGATCATCTCACTTACCTCCGGGGTGCAGTAGTCCGGGAACTCAAAATGAGAGCCCGAGCCAGGCTCGAAGTTAAAATCTAGGTCCCGGTCCAGCACGGACGAGCCGAAGCTGCCCAGGGACATGCTCTCAAAACCGGGGCTGGGGTTCAGGTCCAACAGGTCGTCTTCAAACTCGTCGTCCGAGGAAGAGGAGCCGGAGGAGGAAGAGGACGAGGAGGAATGGGAGGAAGCCGAGGAGGAATGGGAGGTGGAGGGGGCCGGAGAAGAGGCCCTCAGGCTGGTGTAGCTGCGGTGATCCGAGGGGGAGCTGCTGCCCGGCGGGGAAGGGCAGGAGATGCTGCTGCAGTCTCCGTCCTGCTGGCACCCTCCGGCGCCCCCCTCCTCGTACAGGCTCAGAGGGTCGCTGGCTTCCGTGGAGCAGCTCAGGGTCGGGCTGGCCGGCACGGCGCCCCCCGGGGAGGAGGACGCGCTCTGCCCGTGGCCCCCGCCCGTGCCGAAGACATAGACCCGCTTGAGCTTCTTCTCCGAGAGGTGTTTGCCCGAGGCCGAGCAGGAGCTGGAGGCGCCGCCGCGGGATTTGTACAGCGAGTGGTGGTCCGGGGGCAGCAGGGCGGCCTGAGCCGGCTGCTCGGCGGGGAAGGGGGCGGCTTTGCTGCCCAGGATCACCTTGGCGTGCGACTTGCTGGCCCCGGAGCCGCCGCCGGGGGAGAGCTTGGAGCCGCCGCTCTTCTTCAGCGCGGGCTTGGAGGAGTTCGTGCTGCCCCCGCTGCTGCCACTGCCGGTGCCGCCCCCGCTGGCGCCAGGGCTGCCCCCGCCACTCTTGTCTCCTTTCTCGCCGGGCTTGGCGGAACTGTTTCCCGATTTCACCTTCTTCCTGGGCCGGTACTTGTAGTCGGGATAGTCCGCCATGTGCTTGAGCCTCAGCCGCTCCGCCTCCCGGATGAAGGGGATCTTGTCGCTGTCCTTGAGCAGCTTCCAGCGCTTGCCCAGGCGCTTGGAGATCTCGGCGTTGTGCATGTCCGGGGACTGCTCCATGATCTTCCTCCTCTCGATCTGGGACCACACCATGAAGGCGTTCATGGGCCGCTTGATGTGCCCGCTGGGGGTCTTGCACCAGCTCGGGTCGTCCGCTTTGCCCCCGGTGGAAGCGGTGGAGCCCGGCGTGGGAGAGGAGGCGATGCCCAGCTCGATGCCGGCCCCGGAGTCCGAGGTCTCTCCGGCCAGAAGCGCTTCCGTGTTCTCCGCGTTGTTAGTCTGCTGCACCATCGCTGGGTCTCACACACACGGCGGCGGCGGCGGCTGCTTGCAGGGAGGTCGCCGGGGCTCAGCTCGGCACCAGTGCAACGTAAAAAAAAAAAAGACTCTCAACTTTAACAGGTACAAGGAAGGGGAACGAATCAAACAGTCCCAAACCAAAGCAAAATGCTCAGCCCTTCGCCAGCGCGCAGCCCCTCTGCTAAGTAGTTGTAGTTCCAGACAGGCTCGTCTCCAGCGCTCTGTGCAGTCCTTCCCCCTTTGCTCTCTATTAATTTAGGGGCAGCAGCCAGTGCTCAAAGTGGAACAGAAACAGAGTTTCTTTAAAAATGCTGCAATTCCCCCTCTCCTTGTCAGTGTTTCCCCCCTCCCGTCCCCGAAGCAGTTGATTCCAGTTCACAAGTGCTTTTTCTCTGCCCAAGATGTTTCAGGAAAACAGCACACGCGCTGGTAAAGCCTCCCACTACTGTGCCCAGCAACACACACACACAAAAAAATAATAATTAAAAAAAATAAAAATAAAAACCGGACTCCAGGACTCGTGGCTGTGCAGTCAGTGATCAGGAGCTTGTGCAGTTAATTATTTGGTTGTTGAGAGGTACTGAACAAAAAAAAAAACCCGTCTCATGCAACCGGGTAGCATTAATAAATGTGTGCCTTCCCTGTAGGAAGAGCGGTGACTAATGCGATAAATATATTTAGTCCCGTTTTCCCTTCCTTTGCATGCACAACCCCAAAGAGAGGAGAGACACATACACAGACCGGGGCTACTGGTATTGGCCTCTTCCCCCTCACACACTGTTTCTCTTGCTGCAGCTTAGAGCGGACCCCAAATTCCGCCTAGCGCCTCTTTATCCTTTCACAGTCCTCGACCCGGCCAATCACTCGCTGTATCCAACGCTTCCTCGTGCCAAACCCCACCCCGCCGGCTGCTATTGGCTTGGAACCCGATGCAATAATAATCACCGCGTGCAATGAGAAGCTCCAAATCTGACCTCATTCCAATTTACAGAGCAAACTTTTTAAAAGGGCCAGAAGTGCAGCTGAGATTTCTGAGTCTCTTTTTCCTTTTGCATTTCTCCTCCCCTCTTCTCTTCCCTCCCACCTCCGTGTGTGTGATAATGCACTAAATTATTGAGGAGTGGGAAGGGGGAAATATATTCTATCCTTTATGTTAGATAAGTTGGATGGGGAGAAGTGAAATACTGTAAATGGGAGCTTTACTTTCTGCATAAAGGGAAAAGTGATTATCTGCGAATATTAGTTCCTTTCAGCACCGAAAGAAAAAAAATCAGCATGTGGTGTAAAAAATCTGTTCCTTGTGGATAGGATTCATTCTGAGAAAGGACCAGAGGAAAAGGGAAAGGGAGGGGAGAGACAGCAAGGATAAATCAATGATTTAAAAGCCACTGAGAAAGTGGGTAGACACCTGTCATCACAAATATTTTCACATTAATTCCTATATCACAGATGCTGATACATTGTATAACACTCCTTACAACAATTTATTCACTTATAATTATCACAAAATACTTGCAATTCTTATAGGAAATTCAAAGATTCCCAATCCTCCCAAACATTGCTTTTTGAACACTGCAATGATTGCAATCAGGTCACATTTTCTCCAAGGCTCAAATTAAGGATGAACCATGGGACATAGTTTGGGACACAGTTCTGTTATTATAATAATAGAATTATAAATAATTTTTGTGTAGCTTCTATCTCATTTTCCTTTGGAAGTTGGGTGGGAGGAAGAGGCATTTCTCTTATCAAATGTTTACCATTCACACCCTCCTGTTTGCTTCATCATTGTACTATTGGCATCCTGTCTGCTGGCAAGCCCACTTGGTTCAGGGTGCACTGGGGCTAGGTGATGGAGTTCCACATCTGTCATTGAACTTCTTGCAGCACCCCTGGTACACAGTGAGTATTGTGACAGGGCTGGTTTTTTTGTTTTGTTTTTTTTTAAATCTGATGAGGGAAGGAAAGGGGTATCTCTTGTGAGAAGTTGGTACTCTGTGACCAATATATTCAACAAAGAAGGGTTTGCAGACATGACAGACAAGATTATAAATTGGGTGCTATTTTGATTTTTTTCTAATTAGAACAGATATCTAAATTGTCACACACATTCGTACTTTATTGTTTTTGTCTATTTTAAAAACACTGTCAAAGTAGTTTAGGCCTCTAATCTCGTATGTCTATAATTGTTATAACCTGATGGAAAACAGATATTTTAGGGATATTTTTAATCCAACATTCTGCCTCCAGTAAATAAAATAAATCAGTAAAGTTTTAAAAGGATAAAATGTAATAATGATTTGTGCAATAGAGCTCTCCTGCATCCTCTGTAGCACCAGTTAAATAAACACTGGGGTTAAAGGCATAGGCCCACAAAAAAACAACAAAAATCACTCTTTTCCAAACTTTCCTTGACATCAGTGGTTATGCCAGTAACCAAAATGCTGTTAAGCAAATCAGATATGTCAATTTCACTTCCAATGGGAGGGGAGGGGGAAAGAGCAGGGAAAATAATGAAAATAATGTTTGCTAAATAGAAAAAAATAACATTGTAGGGAACGTTTCAAGGTTCTAAGAAAGTAGTATACAAAAGTTATATATTTTTCAGAAATGGAAAGCCTATGATAGTGTCCTTTCAAAGACTATTTGGTTTGAATACAAGCTATGAGATTTTAGGCTCCAAATTTGAACCAAACTAGAACTGCTATGAAGTGCTGAGAAAAGTCCTGTGAATTCTAACTATCTGCTCTCTATGTTTGTTGCTTTAAACCTAGAACTAAATCACTGATATTTATTTAAAAAGACAGTAGTCTCTTATTGTTGGGCCTATACAATTAATATTTTGTATTCAGCCTGTTGGTTCTTCAGAAGTAGCTTCTTCAAACCTTGGATCAAAGTCTCTTCTCAGTTACAATGGCAACTCCAGTAACATCAGTATAGTTACATCTGATTTACACCAGTATAGAGAGGAATTTGGCACATTTTTCTCACAGCTGTGCTGACATTAAATATATTACTTCAAAGTACCTACATCTATTGCAATCAGTGGGAGTCTAAACAGGTTCAAAAGTGTTTTGGTGTCCTAAAGTGCTACTGACTTTATTCACACCATTTCTATCCCTGTGTAAAATCCTGAAACAGCTGTAACTGAATAGAGCCAGTAACAAAGTCCACTGATTTGCTTGTTATCTTGGGTATCTACAGACATTTCAATGTATAGTTAAAATCTAACTGTAAATTTATTTAAACTGCAAGATATCTAAAATAGCCTCATGTTTCTAAATAGGTTAAAGAAGAAATCAAGATACCACATCTAAAGACATTTGTAGAGATAGATACAAAAGGTAGCAAATAAACCTACAGGAAAATGAGTCCAAGAGAACCTTTTCCTCTAAATTTGTTACCAGAAGCAGGGTCTTGATCACTATCACTACTGTGGCAATATAAGTCAATGTTTATGTTAATTAAAACAGTCATGTCAGTTTTATCTCCATTCAAAGAGTATTTGTGTGGGAAGGGAAAATCAATTTTTGCTAACTGGAAAAAGACAAAATGGTTGGTAAAAATTTGAACCTTGTAATTGTAACTAACATTTTAAAAGTATTTTATTATAATTTCTTGGCAGCGTCCTTTAAGTTAATCAAGGTTTCCATTCTTCATTATTGAACGTGGGATTGAGAACCATTCAGACTGGCCAAAGAAATTTAACATATAAGTAAAGTGCGAACATTCTGCTTTCAGCTAAAAGGCAGTTTTAACAGCGCTGTCAAAATCTCTCCACGTTTAATAACTTAAAAGGACTGGAACTGTAGGTTTTCCAAGTCTGGGGGTGGAAAAAAGGACGCTAGGTGGCAGAGCTGAGCCTCTTCTGGACAAATAAACGTGGGAAAACGTGGATCTAACAAATCCAAGGTTTTATCCTTCCCCACCCCCATTTTACTGAGCAGCTTACAGCTCTAAAGTTTCTGAAAGAACTCCAGTGGGTTTCTAGAAAGGATCTCTCATGAGGAATAACACACACGATACGCACTTTCCAGTTGACAGAAAATCTCAAACTGACAAGGAAAATTAAGGTCTTTATTCAGTGCTTAATTTGTAATGAAAGAGGTGCTAGGGCTCGAGCCATGTTTTTACTTTCATAACTGATGCAGCAAGCCCAGAGGTGCTGAACTGCCAAGCCTGAGCCCTGGCAAGCCCTGGCATAAATTAAGCACGGTCGTTATTAATGTTAATTAAATTATTATACTTATAGCAGAAAACTAGAGTTTACAATTTATTGTGTTATATTATCTCTTGCTTATAAAACAGAGGAGTATTTAGTAGATCAGTTATTCATACAAATGTCTTCAAGACATATGTGCAATATGAAAAATAAAGGCATTGAAGTTTTACTTAAGAATTAGCAAGGTACAAAGATGGTTCCATCAGTTAAAATGTCTGATTTAATAATGCAGCAGATCTTTTCTTTCTCTTAAAACAAGGATTAATAGTGCTCAACCTTACATAGCAGCTGCTGAAGATGTTTTTTTCGATTGTGCTGAGAGAAATTAATTGGAATCGACTCAGATTGTGCTTTTGAAAACAAGCCTTTCCTAGTGTTAAACATGTTTTTGACATGTTGCTGTCAGCCACATTTAAAAACTTCTCTCTCTTTCAAGTATAATGACTGGACAATAGGCATAAGAAATTATGAATAAGAAGTGATCATGGCCTTAAAAGTGGCTATATAGTCAATTACACCTTACAGTGCCAAAATGTTCAACTAGTTTCTGTGAATCCCCAAACATGGGGAATGGCTGATTCCTTCTGAAGTCAGTGTTCTTATTAATGCCTGCATATAGAATACCATTTCCCTATATAGCTACAATACAGTATACTGCTGTCCATATATTTACTTTAGTAAATATCACATCCATACGACATATCTTTTAAACATGCAGCGTACTGCTGTATTTTTATATAGTGCATAATGTATATATTGAATGTAGTGTGTACATTGTAGATATACAGTACATGCATCATCACTGCAGTGTGCTTTAACTCTACAAATGTATGCTTTATGGTATAGATCATGTATTTTATTTATAAATATATATACATCCAAACTCCAAATTGTTGTTTTCCTGATTCTTGTTTATCATGTATTTTCCATAGTAGAGCTTAGGATAAGATTTAATAGACAATTCGGTTATAAGCTTTCTGATCACTTGTCTCTTGAAAGCTGCAGAGGAAAAAAATTGACCCTCCCATTACCCCCTCCCCATTATAAATGCACAGCGAAGGGCAGCAAAGCAGGCGGTGTCTGAATCCCCAGAGCAGCAAGCGCTGAAGCTAATTATTCCATCCTCCCCCCCTTTTCCTGTTTTCTCCCCAGAGGGTTGTGACGGGGTCGCGGAGAGAAACTGGAAACAGAGGAAGCTGATGCAGCCGCTTATAGAAAAACAAGGCAGCGTTTAGTTTAAAAGAACCCTTTGCTTTCTGTGAGGATCAAAGCACCTGTGGGAGGAGGAGGGGTCAAGTTTGATCAGGAACAGAAGATGAGGCACCAGATGGCAGGTAGGTAACAGGTCGCTTTCGAAGGTTGCCTCTGGCATCAGTGCGGAGAAGCTTTTCAGGGCTTGACATGCTGTAGCTGAACTTTGAAGTCCCAGCTCTCAGAGCCAGGCGCACCGCATGCAAATAGGCAGCCTTCAGCAAGAGTCCCTACAACTTCCCTGTGCGGAAAGGCGCTGTCACTGCCCGTTAGCGCCGTGCCTGAAACTCACCCAACGGAGAGATTTAAAACCCTTACCACGCAGTCAATTTTATCGCTATTTCCACAGTTAAAAAACCGCAGGTCAACCTACCCGCTTTAGAGCTATAAGGGATACTGGGGGAGGAATCCTGAGCCCTCCAACCCAGTGCACGCAATATGCCCGTACGTCCCCAATCGACTGCATACAAAGAAGCGCTAATCTAATGCGCACAGCCGCTTCAACCCAGGACACATAACCCCCGCACCCTCCCAATCCCAAACACAGTCAGGAACCGCCAGTCCAAATGACTCACACCACTCCAATCCCATGCACACATACCACACGCCAACTCACTGCACACACCCAGCAGCGCTAGATATGTAGCCCCTGGGGTTGCACGTGGAGCAAACGCTCGCTGTTAATTGCATCCCTTTTTCTTGCCTGTCCCCCCTTTTTGTAGCCTGTGGAGGGCTGGGGTGGGGGAGAGCTGGTGCATAGACATGGCTGGGGGGTGGGGGTGGGGAGAGGTAGGAAGCCTAAACAGCTGCCACGCGACGCTTGTCTGGGGGAAAGAAAGGGGGAGGAGGGGTATGGGCCGGGCGCGTGGCGGCGCGAGACAGGCAGGTGGCGCGGAGCGGCGGGAGTCGGAGAGGCGCAGGCTCCTCCGGTCTAGCCCGGCGCCAGCCAGCCAGGCACAGGGGCGAGTGGGCGGGGCGCGGGCCAGGGAGCGCGCGGTGCAGGCTCGTCTCGGTCCAGGGCAGCTGCACAGGGTGGTTTTCGTTCACTGCCGGCTGGAGCTGCCTTAGCTTTCCCTACACCCTCGCTCTGTGCTGGCTCAGCTACAGTGCCCGCCTCAGCTGGGCTGCGAGTATGTGCGAGGATTGAATTCACCCCTCTCCGGGCTCAGGCCACTTTTCTTTTTCTAATTACCCGAGCATTGCCCCGGGAGATGCGGGTCGAACTCAGCCGCGACCTGAGGCTCCAGCTCTCGCATTTCCCAGCAAGGGACTGCAGTCTGGGGCAGCGGTTACTCTAGTCTTGCAAAATTAAATCCACCCGCGGCGAGACAAGCGCGTAAAATCTCACTAGGCACTTTAACCAGTGCATGGGCTTGGGGGCGGGCGAGGACAGGAGCCGCAGTTGAATTTTACCTGCATATTTGTTTGGGGTGAAAGACTCTACAGTGACTATGGAACAATTCCTGAGCCTTTGAAAGGGGAGACTTGGGGCAGCCCGAATTTTGTATCTGATTTCTCCCCCTTTGGGGTACAGTGTAGATGTACTACCTGGTGCAAAGGGTGATCAGGTATTCTGGGTTGAAGTGTGAACATCTTGATTGTATGGCATTTCAAAAGGCCCTGTAGTGCTATGGTCAGGGTTGTTCCTTTACTTCCTTCAAACAGGAGGGTAGCATCTCAGTAGAGATTTGTTTTCCCAATTGTCCCTTTCTGTCTCTCAAACCCCCCCCCCCATTTTGTCCCCATTCCAAATGTGTCTCACTGCTAGAGACAAAAACTACTCACAAGGACCAACACTAAATAATAAGGCAAGCTGCCTGTAGGGGATAGGCTTCTATATTGGTTAATAATATTGTTATTCATAACTAACAGATATGCTTATTTATACAATTATAATTTGTTATTCTTACTTTAGTTATTACCCTCTTAATTTCATCACTGAATTTAGGAGACAGTTATTTTATACATGTGACTCTTGGAAAATAGTTTGCTTCACCTGCTTATGTTTTTGGTTGCTTATTTACTGCAATGAAATGCTCCATCTAATTAAGTAAATTCCTAAGAAATCTGTCAATCTGTGACAAGCACCAAAAATGTCAAAAAATATGACATTTATGTCCAGAAAGCCTATTTATTACCTGCAAATGTGTTTACACTGACCAGAATACAGCTTTAATATTGTATACTGTTTTCTTTTATACTATGTTTTAACAGACAGTATATGTGTTGTTGTGATTTTTGCCTTGCATATAATATTTGATAGGGGTCTTCAACAGCAAGTTGTAAATGTACTGCAAATGGCATGCAATAAGTTAGGCAATCATTTGGTCAGAGAGGCCAACAAACACAAGATAGTTTTCTCAAAGAACAGAACTGTAACAGGGTGGCTGGCCTCTTAAGGGCTGGATGGCTGGGCCAGCCAACCCTGATCACTGAAGGAAATGCTCCAGCCCACTTGTGCCATGTTATCATCATGGATGGTGCGTGATGAAGGGCAGACAGGTGATTCCCCTATGAAGGGAGGGGAAACTTGGGTAACTGCAGGGAGTGAGAGAGGTTGCTGCAGGGCAGAGCTTGATATCATGGGAGTTGAGAAGTCAGAGCCAGGAGACTGAACTCCAGCCAGGTAAAGCCTGAAAGTGACCGTTGAATTCGGACCCAGCCCTGGGAAGGAGAGCAGAGGGCTGCTGTACCTAAGGGAAAGAGACACACACTGAAGTCAGTGATCTTGAAGGACCATTGTGTACCCTGAGAGCTGAATAAATTAGGCTCCCCAGAGGAGAAGTGTTTTAATGAACTTTGGGTAGTTTGAGTTTCTTAAAGAAATAAGAGGGGAAACAGAGGCACGGTGCTGCAGAGAGGGGCTGACCCCCATCCTCTAGCCATGAGCAGGTGCTCAGGAAGGGCTGACCCCCATCCTTCTTGTGAGAGAGGCCATTTGTCAAATTATAAACTGGACAGTCATCTTTTTGCATGGCTAGTACGTCAAATGTGGTTTTGTCCAGTGTTGGATGGGGGTGTGTGTGGAATTTTGAAGAGCAGGTTGCTCTGCCCCTGCTGGCGTGACCTCACAGAATGTGTGTGAGGTCATGCTGATGAGAAAGGAGCAGCATGCTCTGCAAAATGCAATTCTCATGTGGCTGATGTGCGTGTGAGGTGACACCAAGGGGGACAGTGTCACGCTGGAGGTGGCGTGGGACAGGCCCATGCCATTCCTGGGGGTACTGGAATGTGTGAATGGCCACCCTATTCCCTGTGAAAGACGCCAGCATGGTATAGATGTGATCTTTATCTCAAGAAATACACAACCAGTTTTTTTAGGATGGGTGAGAAAGAGACTTGGTTGTGTAAAAGAATGAGGATGCCCTCTATTCAGAATCAGAGAGGAGCGATGCTTAAGTCATGACACTGATAATACATCCTTAAGTCATAAAAGTGGAGTCTCTTTGAATCCAATCAGGACCCTGAAAAAGATGTGCTTTGTACTTTCAGTGAGACTCTGGAAAGAAGAATATAAATTCCTCTGAACTCTTGTGCTCTTTATACAAATGCATAGTCATGATTATATTCTTACCTTTATGCATGCCTACAGTCCTACACTTTCAGCACTCATCTCAACTTGACCTGTTCATTTCATCCTATCTCCAGAAGCAAGCAAACTACAACAACAAAACAGATAAGAAGAAAAAGCCACAATCCAGCATCAAGGAGCAGCAAATATGCAGCCCAGCACTGCTTGTGAATAGGACTTCACTGAGACTTCAGCATCATTGGTGAGAAGGTGTAAAAGCCCTGCCAACTGATTATTTCAAAAACAAATTTAAGTCTAATTTAGTGGGATATTGAAATGCTATTGTAATACAAGATATTCCTGGAAAGGAGACAGAAGCTAAGGCTTTGTCTACACTAGCACTTGTCAGCAAAACGTTTGTTGGTCAGGGGCATGGGGGAAAAAAAATCCACCACACACCAACTGACATAAGTTTCACCAAAATAGCACCAGCATGGACAGCACTGTCGGCAGGAGAGCATCCCCCGCTGACATAGCTACCACCATTTGTTGGGTGTGGTTTAATTATGCTGATGGGAGAGCTCCGCTCTGGCATAGAGCAGCTGCATAGGACACCTTCCAGCAGCACAGCTGCAGTGGTACAGCTGTGCCGTTGTAAGGTCCGTAGTATAGACATAGCCTAACCTTGGTAAACAAATAGTGGAATTTTATTTGAATTTAAGATTAACATTTGTTAATTTGCCTGTCTCAAGAGAGTTCCTTGAATGGCTTCTTTTTAAGTAACTGAGTTAAAACTTCCTTCAGTTTCATAGGACTTTGAGCTTGTCTACACAGCCCCACAGTTTGGACTTTGGTGGTGTGAATTGAAGCATGCATTGGAGTGTTGCTCTGTAATTTCCCCATGTGGATGCTGTTGGCATGAACTCAGTATGTCTACACATGAAATGCTTCAGCGGCACAGCTGAGCCGCTGCAGCGCTTCAGTCTAGGCACAACCTACTCCAACGGGAGGGGTTCTTCACCTCCATGAGAAGCAGTAGCTAGGTCGAATTCTTCTGTTGACCTAGCACTGTCTACACTGGGTGTAGGTCGGCTTAACTATGCCACTTTGGTTAGGATTTTTCACGCCCCTGAGTGATGTAGTTAAGCCAACTTAATTTTCATGTGTAAACCAGGACTAAAAGGTATCTTAGTTTGCATTAGTGTAGTCTCCTTTGAAAGAGGACTATATTAAAACAAACTAAATACCTTTTAGTTCACACCAGCAGCATCCACACGGGGGGGAATTACAGAGCAGCACTCTAGTGCGTCCTGGAATTCACATCCCCAGTGTCTGAACTGTGGGGATCTGTAAACACTTAAGATCGCTTACCTTTGCCCATTTATAAACTGTTTGGTTTATTCATGCTAAACTAAGCAGGATTCACCAACTCTTTGGACAAAGGAATTTTGTTTTTGTTCCTTACTAAGACAGAACTCTACACATTTTGGGAATAATATACTTTGGTTTTAACTAGAGAAGAGTGTACCCACCAGGCAGGGCCGGCTCCAGGCACCAGCTTATCAAGCAGGTGCTTGGGTGGCCACTTCAGAGAGGGGCGGCACGTCCAGCTGTTCGGTGGCAATTCGGCGGATGGTCCCTCACTCCTGCTTGGAGCAAAGGACCTTCCGCCGAATTGCCGCCGCAGATCATGATCGCGGCTTTTTTTTTTTGTTTGTTTGGCTGCTTGGGGTGGCCAAAACCCTGGAGCCGGCCCTGCCACCAGGGTTGGCCAAACTCTTAAGTCTCTTTTGAGCAACATACAAAAGAGATTGTAAGCGAAGTAACTATTGCTCGCTGCTTATTTTGTGTGTTCTGATTTGGTTTTGCTAGTTTTTCCTCCTCCCCCCTTTCAATATTAAAATGGACACAACTAATAACAGATCGTTTTGCTTGTCTTTAATTATGTTGATCCCAGGCTACATGGAAAGAACCCCATGTAACTAAATAGTGGGAGTCACATCCCTGCATTAGCCTTAAGAGACAATTACTAAGATTTGGCTTACTATATCTTGTCTCTCTAGACCAAGGGTCAGCAACGTTCGGCACGCGGCTCGCCAGGGTAAGCCCCCGGGCGGGCCGGGCCAGTTTTATTTATCTGCTGACGCGGCAAGTTCGGCCAATCGTGGCCCCCAGTGGCCGCGGTTAGCCGTCCCGGGGCAATGGGGGCGGCGAGAAGCGGTGC